GAATTTTTGTAAGCTACTGTCTTGCTGTTACCCACAGGGACTTTTCCTCCGAGTTGTGGGAATGCAACTGCAGTGGAGGCTATGAGGGTCACGCTCCTGCAGCTTGCTAGATCTTGCTAGTCACAGTCGAGAAGGAAACCTGCCTTCATCGTCTTTTCACTGGAGAACCATTTCGCCGAAGATCCGAGAACAGGCAAGGGAAAAGTACCGAAGATGAGGTCTTCTTGAGATGAAGGCTAGTTCTATATTTCACTGTCACCTCCAACCTTCGCACAGGTCCCGGCTGTTTGTCGGAACTGTTGTGGAGCATGAGGCATTTCTTGCCCCTGAAACTCCAGAAAACAGGAATGGGCAAAAGCTGCATCTTCATGATGGTTCCTTGTACGAACGCAGCTTTCTTTGTTCATGGATAGCCGATCCGGTTGCCCCGGCATCAAGTGGTTAATGACCCTATTTACTTATTATTTTTTAAAGGGATTTAGGGGCCAACCCAGATGAGTCAGAGTCCCTGGCCCGGCCTGAAACATTGACGGTCCTGCTGTTCATCCACCGTATGCCGGCAATGGTTTCATTTCTTGCCGTTGGCACCTTTCTTGTTCGAATATTTACCTGTGTAGCCCCGCTTTAAGGTAGATGGAGGTAATCTTGCACGACCTGGGCCCACTAGACTGCAATTCATGGGGTACAAGGTAGATAAGGTGCAAGATTTCCTCCATCAACAGTATCACTGGCTTGGAAGACCCAACTTCAATCCGAAAGCCCCTTCAACTCGGAGTCCCAAGCCTCGTCCTGTTGTTGACGATTTGTGTTGTGTTAGTATGAATCCCATCCCATAATCATGAACTCCTGAACCGTAAGCCCCAAGCCCTACATGCTACACCCCTGAACCCCAGACCCCAAACCCTAAAAATCGTGCAGACATACAAATCCCTGGGGTTGAACATAAACCCTAAAGGGCCTAAACCCTGAAAACCCTAAACCCTAAACCCCAACCCAACACCCTAACAGCATGTCATAGGCCCGGAGCAGCTGAAGGCGGCCCCAGTGAAGATTGCACGGGACCGGGGCTTTGCAAACGTGAACCTTACGTATTGGAGGCTTCCCAATTTTAATAATCGAGAGTCAAGTGGATTTTTTTCAGTTGCACGCAGCTCGGCTCGAGCGTGCTCTGAGCTGGGCGGGCACATCAAGTGGAGAATAGCATGGAAACTTGGATTCTACAGTGGCTTATAGGATGTTTAGGGTTCTCTCAAAATTAGGGTACCATTTTGGGGGTCCCAATACTAAGGATTATGTTATTTAGGGGTCTATATTGGGGCCCCCCGCAACTTACCATTGGGTTAGGATGCAGAGTTCAGGGGGCTTGGGTTCGGCTTGTTTGAAGGGATTCCGACTGCAATATCTTGGGGTTGAGACTACCTTTCGATGTAAAAAGACTTTTGGGTCTTGGCTTCAGGTTTTGGGTTGAGGGTTGAGGGCTGGGGAGAAGGATAAGGTGTGCTGTATATCTCTTTCTGCAGAATTCCTTCGCTAATTTTCGTCGAAAAGTACGTTGGTAGGGTACACTTATTGGCTGCGCAAGGTTGGCTGAAGAAAGAAGTTTCCCCTGGGGTCAGGAAGCAGTTCCAGCAGATGGAGTTCGAATTGTTGGAGTTCCACTCATTGGAGTTCCGCTTGTCGGAATTTCAATTGGGGATCCCGGCTTTGCTCGAGAGCCCTCATGAAGCATACTGAATGGCGCAAAAGCAATTGGATTCGGCAGTTACCGTATGCAATTCTTATTGGGATGGAGCACACACACACATTCTGATACCTCACCCATAAATCTTCAAACTCAAACCAAAATCACAAGCCTTAAGCCCTAGTTCGAAGCCTAGACTCCAGAACCCAGAAGCTCAAATTATCCAAGCTCTAAGCCTTAAGCCCTACCTGCCAGGCCCTGAGCCCAAACTCACAACCGTATATTGGGGTTATATTGGGATAATGGAAAAGAAAATGGAAACCACTATAGTATATAGGGGTAATATT